GTCGGCAGCGGGACGCTACCCCGCAGCGAGACCTTACCAGCCACGGGGACCCGGGGCCGTCACGCAGGGACACCAGCCAGACCAGCTCAGTGGTGCCCACCCAGCAAGGGTGCACCAGCGCTCCAACCACGGCTGGTAGCGAGGTGGATGTGACGAGCAGAGATCTGCCGGTGTAACTCTGTCCGCAGCGGTGTCCTTCACCTCTGACTTCAGTTTTGGCTCACGGGGCCCCAGGGAGCCCCGCGGGCTCACCCGCTGAGCCGGGCTGGCCGAATTATTCTGCCACGGGCCTCGACTACAGCGGCACCGGTGCTCTCTGTGGGACGCGGTGCTTTGCAGTAGCGTCTGAAAGCACAGTGGTGATTTTTCCCCTTTATTTTTTGTTTTGAAGGAACCCGGCGACTTTTTTTTTTTCAAGATATCAGTGTTGCATGGTTACCCGCGAGGAAGGCGGGTGACGGCAAAGTTAAGCTTGCTTCCCGAACTTCATTCTGTCTTTGTCTGCGTGCTCTCCTGTGCAGCCTTTAACTGCAGCTCCGGTAATAACAGACAGGTCTTTTCTGGAGACTTGGAGCAGGCTGTTTGATGGAGTTTTATGTGTTCTGCATATTCATGATGCTCACGGACCCTGCTGAGCAGCAGGAAGTGCCAGCAAAGGTTTCAAAGGTTGCTGAAGAAGAGGTTTGTTGCTAACTGTATTACCTGAGAAATGAGGTCTAACTATATGCTGTCACGAAGGGGTTGAAATTAGGCGGCACGGACACTTTGGGTGATGCCTAACCACACAGCACTGACCTGAAGAGTTTCTTGTGTGAAATATCTCTATATCAAACCACCTTAAACCAGCAGCTCAGAGCAGATAAGGCCCAGAAGCCATCAGCTTCCAGATGTGAGCGGCCAGGAGTGGAAAGTGTCTCCTCTTCCCCGGACAGAGCACAGGGCCACTGCCCTCCAGGACGTGGAGCTGGGAGTCACGTTTGTTTGTGCCACCTTCTGCCTTGTTAAGTGGTTGGGATGGGTTCAGGTGTTGTTGGTGAGCCTCTAACTGATGAATCAGTTGGTTAATTGTTTAATGTAATTACGTAATGATTGTTTTTTAACTCTAGAGATTTTGACAAATGCATTTTTCAGTGCTAATAAACACATGCTCACATACGTACACCTGCCTGCCCGGGAGTTCACAGGCAGATGCACGCCCAGGTGAGGAACAAGCACAAGGGGAGTGTCTGCCCTCGTCTTTGCAGATGCATCCAGCCATAAAAGCCTCTAACTTGGAGGAGAGGTGTGGCGTGGAGCGCGAGTCCTCATCAGGGGTGGGAATCCTCGGACAGGAGTAACTGGTGGGAAGGGGCTCTGCACAGCCGCTTGCGTTACAGAAGATGCCGGGGGTGGTAAATGGCCCGTCGTTCTGGAAACAGATTGCTGGATGAGAGAGCATGTTTGCTGAACAGAAGTGTGAAAGTCCCCTCCATTTCTATGCTGACTCATGTCCCTTCTCCTTTGGGAAGGGTAAGCCAGATCAGCAATGCATCCAGTTTGAAAATAATTTGACCGAAAATGGAGCTATGTTGGCTGGGATCAGCTCTCTGATCTAGCTTGTTGCGTTGTCCCCTAGATGCTTCAGCAGCATAACCTGGGGTGTTTTGAGCGGCACCAGTGCCTGCAGAGATGGAAGGGTGTGGGGGGATGGGAGGCACTGTGATGGTGAGGGGTGTCCACAGATCCGCAGCCCCCATGTTTGCCCTGCCGCATGCCATCACCCTGTGCTCTGTGTCTTGAGGACTTCCCGTGCTTGAACCAGTAATATTTTATTTTACAGGGGCCAGCGTAGACCTGTTTGCTGCAGTTGACGCTGCTCAGCCAACAGCTGGGCAGCAGAGCTGGGAAAGGGCTGACTGGTCCTGGTAGCATCTCTCTCACCGGTCTCTTTGGCCCAGAACAAGCAATGGTTCCTTGTCGTGCTGAGGTCTCAAGCACGAAGGATCCAAACCACTGTGTGTGGCTCGATCTAACCCCAGGTTTGCAGTCCCTTGTCCATCTCCCCGTGTGCCGCCATCTGTCACCAGCCCATGGACAGAGTGGCCGTTCTGGGAAGGCAGATAACCCACCTGTGTCTCAGATCCATCCCTGGGGCTGTCAGTTGGCCAGCCCTGGCTCAAGCCACCTCCAGGAGTGTGTCATTCACAGCTTCCTGACATGGGACTTCCCCAGTCTGGCTGTACTGGTGTCACCAGCCCTGTGTTGTCGAGGGTGGATTACCCATGCTGGGAATTAATTGGACTGTTGCTCCAGTGGCACCAGTTTGGCTCTGTGTGACTGGGGATCTGGAAGCACCGCCTGTGTGTCCGTGTCCCAGGTCAAGGCAGCCATGTGGGTGGGCATCAGTTTGGGGGTCTGATCACCCGCCTGGTGCAGACCTTTTTGCTCTTCGGAGGGTGCTTGCAGCATGACGTACCGCTGGTCTGTGTTACCTATGACTTTATCTAAAATGTTCCTTCCTCATATCTGATCCCTGAGCACCATGTGTTGACTGCACAGCTCCAGGGGTATTACTGTGGTAAAATCATGTCCCCACAGCCCCCTGGGGATGAGAGGTGGCACGGGCGAGAGCTTTTTGTAAGCGGAGATGTGAACACTTCTATCTTGCAACGTTTTGCATGTGTCAGAACTGGTTCTTGCTAATTCCAGCTGCTGATCTACAGTCCAAGATCTCTTTTTTTGCAAGAGTCTGAGAGCCTCAATTGGGGGGGGAGGGAAAAAAGAAAAGAACGTTTTTATAAAGAGCCTTGTAGGATGTAAGATGCACCGATGAATGGAGAGGGGGCGGAGGATTCTGGGGGGAATTTCCTCTGACCAAGCGATTCTTACTATGCATTTCAGTTTACCACCCACCCACTGCTGTGGGGTGTGAGTTACCTTTACATGGAGATTGCAGAACGTTTTGAGTAGCAATGTCAGCTGTGTATTTGGGTGTAGATGGAAGGATCTGTGGAACCCCATGATTTAAAGACTCCTGGATGACCAGCTGGGTCTGTGCTTGGCCCTACAGAGCTCCTGCAAGTTTTAAAGCAATTAAGGTATGCAGACAGAAGCTAAAACAATTTGAAATCTCATCTGTTAAGGGAGCAGCTTGCATTTGAGGGGCAAACATCCAGAAGAAGCCCCTTTGCAATCCCCTACTCACTGGAGGACGAACACAGAGAGCAGAACTGTGCAGTGGAAGGCTGGAAATCTGCAGAGGTGTGACCTAAACTGAGGTCCATCAGGTACGACTGTCTGACGTTGCTGTATCTGGGTCTGGCCATGGGCAGATGCAGGGCAGAGGTGTGCATAAATCACTTCCACCTCAGCTTGGACCCCTCAGTACAAGAAGGACATTGAGGTGCTGGAGCGTGTCCAGAGAAGAGCAATGAGGCTGGTGAAGGGTCTGGAGAACAAGTCCTATGAGGAGCGGCTGAGGGAACTGGGATTATTTAGTCTGGAGAACAGGAGGCTGAGCGTGGACCTTCTCACTCTCTACAACTCCCTGACAGAAGGGTGTAGTGAGGCGGGTATTGGTCTCTTCTCCCAGGTAACCAGCGACAGGACGAGAGGCAATGGCCTCAAGTTGCATCAGGGGAGGTTGAGATCGGATATTAGGGGGCAGTGGTGGAGTCCCCATCCCTGGAGGGGTTCAAAAACCATGTAGATATGGCACTTCAGGACATGGTGGTGTTGGGGTGACGGTTGGACTTGATGGTCTTTGAGGTCTTTTACAACCTGAATGATTCTGTGATTCTATTAAACTCCTTGGAGCTCTCAGCTGTATTGCAAGGGATTCCTCTGAAGTGTTGTTCTTCCGGAAGATGCCAGGCATCAGGTGAGCTGCTCCTCTTGCATGCTGTTGGCTTGCAGTAGCTGCTTTGGGCACAGCAGCTGGCTGACTGTGGCATTTGGGAAGATCTTGGGTTGGACGAGGTCAGATCTGAATCACTAAAGCACGCATTTTGTTCCATGAAGGGTGGAGAATGTCAAGGGCACACGGCGCACGGGAGGATCAGCTATTAAACATCAAGGCAGCCATAACCTGTGGCAGCAACCAGCTCCCACCTGCATTTTTCTCCATAAACTGTCCTCACTTAATCCGCCCCTCATCATGCAAAGAAGGCACCTACATTGAAAAAGGCGGGGGGGTCTCTGTGTAAGATGGCAGTGGGGATGGGCTGCAGCTGCTAGAGCAGCTCACCAGTTCGTAGCCAGCTCCTAACCGGTGGCACCGGCTCCTGGAGAGAAAGAGCAGCCATGAGCCAGGTGCAGGGTGACTAAACAAATCTGCTGGACTCGAAGCGGCCGGAGCCCAAGTTGCCCACCCCGCGGTGCCAGGTTTTGCAGCTGCTTTTCCCTTCCTGGTGGAGGGGTTACCAGGGTCTGATTCCTTCGCGGCCTCCCTGGGGGAGCGTGCCCACCGCCTCTCCCTGCACCGCCAAGGAGCTGACAGCTTTTCTACCTAGTGTTTGTCTAACTGGGACCTCCAGTTCAACCAGATATTCACTACCAGCTGCTGGAGTTCTCTGTGCTGTATCTTGAAAGGATCCCAGTGAACGTCTGCTGCGCATGTAACGCTTTCCTAGCAGATTCGTTTACTGGCAATCAGGAGACGCAATGCACTGCCATTTTTTGTTTGTTTGGGAATGTTCACAGTGGTTTGCAAACCTCGACTTTGAAGTGCAGAAGTCCAGCACGGTGTTATGAACACTGAACCAAGAGCTAATTCTAATGGAGTTTCTCCAGTTTGGCTTTAAATAAGTACGTCAACAAGCCAAGATTTAGATGTTAAATTAAATATTAAGCTTCTTGACGCAGAGTGTAACTCGGTGTCTTACAGGAGTCTCTAACAAAGAGGACTGGAGGGACACTGGACAACAGCAAATTCTTTCAGACATCTGCTACCAACCCTATTTCTTGTCTCCAGATGGGTCTGATGTGGAAAAGTGCGGGGACAAGCTCCATTCCCTGGGCAGGACATGGGGAATCTGTGGTGCCATCAGGGCCATGGGTCCCAGCACAGCGCATCGAGGAGGTGTAGTGGATCCGAGTTCTGCCGGGGCTTTGCAGCAGGACACATCAGCTTCTCCTGGGAAGGTGCCCCAGGCACTACCTGCCTGCTGATGGGTCTGTGGAGTTGTCACCCCACATGTGGTCCACAGGGGAGGACTGCCTGGCGCAGTCAGGGTGTTGTGCCTTCCCTCTGCAGTGTAGATGCATTAGTGCATGTGGGGCAGGGACAGGCTCGTGCCAGCGCGGAGCTCCCTTGAGCAAATGCCTCCTAGACAGATGCCCAGCAGAGAGGTGAGGAGAGCGTGGGTTTCACCGAGAGCAGCCGTGGGTGTCCAGCAGAAAAGATTTTTCATTAAGATTAAGAAAAGGAAACAGTCAGGGAATATGAAGGAAGGGCGCAGAGCCCAGCAGGGGCACGGAGCGGCTCCTCTCGGGGACACGGGGCAGTAGCGGGGTCCTCCCTGCCTGGTGGCTGGGCAGCCATGCAGCAGCCACCGCTGAGCAGCCACCCCAAATTCCCTCTCCCCAATTTCCGCATGGTAAAAGGATCCTCCAGGAGAGCTGAATCCAGGTGCGACATTATCCTGTGATTCCTCATCTGCATTTAGATGGAAACACTTCACAAAAGGCAGGAGGTGTTAGGCAGAGACTGGCCCTGCAGACCAGTCACGATGAGAGCGAGCGTGACTGCTCTGCAGCTGGAGGCCAGCTCCAGGGAGACGAGGTCCCCCGCTAACCCTGCTGGGATTCGGGAGCAAAGACGCCAAGGAGGGGAAGGTTGTGCCCCTGCTCAGCTCTGCGGGAGCCTGCCAGGCGTGCAGGTGGCTCCCGTGCAAGCTCCCTGCACGCGTGGTCCGGGACGCTCGGCTTTCTGCCCGCGCTGGTAGCGACATGGGACCGTGCGCCCTTCAGCAGCGTCTCGCCTGCCAGAGCCACCGGACGGTGCAAAGGTGACAGATCGGAGCAGGGCATGGAGGGGTTTGGTGCTTCTTCTGAAGCAGCTGACCCTGGCGTGCTCCAACCACTGAGCTGGTTTGCCCAGCTTGTAAACAACTTATTTTTTTTCCTCTGGGCTAATCTTGCTCTGTGGGGGCAGATAACATCACTGGAATTTTTCCAGTGTCCTTTGCAAGTGCCTCCTGCTTTGGACTTTGTCTGAGACGCACACGAATGAGACACGAGTTTCCTCAATTGCTTTCTCTTGTTTGCTTTCCTCTGGGCACGCTGTGCACCCCTTGTGCTGGCTGCTTCCTGCTCTGCTCCCCGCTCCCTGCCAGCACCTTGCTCTCCGTCTCGGGGAAGGCGGCCGGGACGCGAGCCCGGCACAGCCTCGTGGGACTCGGCGAGGTCCGGCTCAGCGTCCTGGCTCTTTGCCCTGCAACTTTCGCCTTGCTCTGCTGCACTTGTGCCAGTGCAGCCATTTGGGGTTTAGACCTGCACCACGGCAGGCACCGGCTGCACTTTAGCCTTGAAGGGCCAAAAGGCTTCTAGTCCTGAGGCAGAGCCAACGCCAACACAGCTGGCGTGGTACCTGACCCCCAGCCCACCCAGCTGCCTGTCCCCTCTCTGCCCACAGATCCCACTCATCACCCCCCGAGGCCTCGGGGATCTCCGTTGTGGGGTCTGGCAACAGAAAATCTGTGCTGCTTTGGAGAGAGCTGGAAG